CAACATCTTTGTTGGTATGTGGTGCTGAGGATCGAACTCGGGTCGCACGCATGCCAGGCGAGCGCGCTACCACTTGAGCCACATCTCCAGCCCCTCTTTCCTTTTTTAAATGGAAGCTGTTATTTTTCAATAATCTTATGTCATTTTAAAATAATTATCATTCCAGACTGATTAGAAAGATCACAGGAGCTACATCCTCCTTCCCCATGGAAAATCTGAAGCGCCATTTTTTAGCCATTAGGACAGGACAAAGATTCTGTGCTGTGTGTTTCAAGATATTCATGGTGTTGGCCACTTGAAGGGATTCTTGGAGGACATGATCGACATTCAATACCTGCAGAACCTGAAATCTGTCCATGCCCGACATGGTGCTGAGCAAACTCAACATCYAGATGCCATCTGCAGCCCAATTCCTCAGTTTCTCTGTTAAACATTCTTCTACTGCCCACCCTACCTATGAGGCCTCTTCCATGCAAAAATTCTAGAAGCAAAAAAAAACAGCCTCCCAGGATGCTCACAACCACAGCATTCAAAAAGAATAGAACCCGCCTTAAACTTTTTGACAAAAAATAAAATAGAAATAGAAAAAAAAATTATAAAAATAAAATATTGTGGTGCCTACAAGGAAGAGAGCTTGCTCTATATGGGACGTGGGCTTCTGAGGATGTGGAAGCCTCCCCAGAATGCCATATTCTACTAAAGATCTTCCATAGTCATGTAGAGGCCAAATTGTCAAAAAAATTGATCCTCAGATAATTTCCTGACAGACATGTTAGTAAGTAAGAAGTAAAGAGTAGGAGACAAGACTGGGAAGACAGAGATGGGCCTGGGTCACTTCCTGGGCAGTGAGTACAAACAGCACCTGCAGATATTTGCTAAGAAACTTACAAAAAGGCTATAATTAAGTCAGGGCCTATGTGACTATGGTCCATGCCTCTCCAAAGAAGGAAAAAGGCCTGATGGACATGTTGATTGGACAAAAGGTTTCATGGACACGCCGTGGACACTGCATGAATATACTTTGTGACTTTTTCTATTTGTGCTAATTAATGCAACTAATAGCTTCTTTGTCTTGTAGTGCTTCTACAGAACAAGCAGTTGTCGTTTGGTATCAGGATTAATATAGACTTAAAAAATTCCTTGGCACATTTATTTCTGATTCCCAATAATTTATATGCATTGCAAATAGGTGAGATTTCAAAATTACTGATGATATTTCTGGGTGGTGAATTGGGTGAGTCCATTTCTTCATTGATTGTTCCATTATACTTTTTAATTAAAAATTAACCGAGCCTATGGAAAATGTGGCTTCCTCATCATTAATGGGAATTATACAGACCCAGCTTTTAACATTTCACCTAAATGGTGGTTATTACCAGGACATTTAAAAGTGAAGCACAAAAGTCATTCTGAAGACACCTGAGAAGGCTCTGACCAGGTGCAGGGGAGTCACCTAGGTCCAGTCGGCTTTGGGGACTGAATTAGGTTTGCTGACTGGGATTTCCAGCTGGTGGTGGCAACAAAAGGGAAATAGTGTCACTAAGGAACCCCAGTGTGACCCACAGCAGAGGAGGGGCCACCAAGCCAATGCCTCCTAGAACACTGGGTCCACGCCCAGGCAGCCAGGGTCCTGAGGTGGCCWTGGACTTCCTCTAGCTGCCGCTTCTCCCCTGGGGACATTTACTTTACATGGAACCAGAAAACCACACGGGGACTCCAGGATTTCTCCTCCAGGGACTTTCTGAGAAGCCAGAGATGCAGTCGGTTCTCTCTGGGCTCTTCCTGTCCTTGTACCTGGTGACCATCTTTAGGAGCCTGCTCATCATCCTGGCCACCATCTCAGACCCCCACCTGCACACGCCCATGTACTTCCTCCTCTCCAACCTGTCCTTTTCTGACATCTGCTTCACCTCCACCACATTCCCCAAGATGCTGGTGAACATCCAGACACAGAGCAAGGCCATTACCCACGCAGGCTGCATTACCCAGATGTACTTCTTCACAGTTTTTGGACGGCTGGACATGGGACTTCTTACTATGATGGCCTATGACCACTTCATGGCCATCTGCCGGCCCATGCACTACACAGTCCTCAGGAGCCCCCAGCTCTGTGCTCAGTTCTTCTCCTGAGCTGGCTCCTCAGTGTGCTGGGAGCCCTTCCTGAGAGTGTGAGTGGACTGAGGCACTCCTTCTGCACATACATGGGAATCCCACACTGTTTCTGTGAATTCCCTGAGGTCCTCAAGCTCGCCTGCACTGATACTTTCATCAGTAGCGTCATTGTACACAGTGACAGGCAACCTTGGGTTTTTCCCTCTTTCTGGGATCCTTTTCTCTTATTCTAAAATTGTGGCTTCTGTCCTGTGGATCTCCACAGCAGGAGGGAAGTGCAAGGCCTTTTCCACCTGTGGTTCTCACCTCTCAGTTGTCTCCCTGTTCTATGGAACCTACCTGGGGGTCTACCTCAGCTCCACAGGGACACGTGCCTCCTGATCAGGGGTGTTGGCCTCCACCTGTACACCCTGGTCATCCCCATGGTGACCTTACAACTTTTCAGCTCCTTCCAGTTTTTGAACACATCAATGAGCAAAAGCAGTGTGTCAGCGTACATGCTATCATTCCTTTTAAAACCTTAAAAGAATTAAAAATGCTTGAGGTACTTATAGCCCTAATTCCCATTTATACAAAGCTTGCTCAACTCAGTTTGCCAAAAACCCCTTCCGCCCAATGACTGGGTGTCCATGGCCAGGGCTTTTCTGAATGGCGGTGACTGCCTTCTCTGGGGGTCTTACTGGACCGATTTTTGTACCGAGCATTTTGAGAGAAACATGAGACAGAATCGTGAGACTCCTTTGGAGATATTGATGGGAACAGGTGAATTTGCAGATTTAGAGAGGCAGTTCAACTATGATTTGGCAGTTTATGATCAGAATAATTCACGTGCAAACAAGGCCTGGCAGCCAATTTCTTCCCAAGATCAGTCTAATTTGTTTGACTAAGATAAAACAGGGCTCAGAAGAACCATTCTCTGACTTTGTAGTGCACTTGTACCATGCAGCTCACAGGTCCATGGGGGATTCAGGTACCTGTGAGTTGGTTGGTAAGCAGCTAGCATTGGAGAACTCAGGTAAGGCCTGCCAGGATATCCTCTGCCTCATAGAGAAAAGGGGACCCTCTCAGAATTTGTTTGCCTTTGTGCAGAGGTTGGCCCAAGCCAATGACAAGGTTTTACACTCATCATGGGTTTGAAGCAGGTACTGCACCCCCAAACCCAGGGATGCCATTCTCATGGATGTTGGTAAAGATGGTGCCCCCAGGGCTTCTGTTCGAGGAGCTTAGGTCTGTGATGTACTGAATGGCGGGAACTTTGAATGGCGCGTGAACCATCACCTCCAACCCCTATGAATGGCACACCTCCAATCCCTGAAGTGGCGCCAACTCTCAGCCAATAAAGAAGTAACA